CATTGCTACTAGAGAAGAGAATCAAATTCAATGTTCACATCAGACTTGGCTGATGTTTTTCAGGAAAGAATGGGAAGTTCAGTACAAAGGGAAATTAATTTGCTTTGTTCTTTGGAAAAAAGATTTGTGTGAGCAGGAAGTGAAGCTATTAGTAAACTCTGAGGTGTACTCAGTCATTGCCTTGAAGCTGATTCGTGCTTAGAGGTTAATTGAGAGTACTTTCGTGAGAAGGGGGCCAAGAGGAGAAACCTACCGTTGGCCTGCCATCCTCTCCCCTTTCCCTTGAAATGGAGAGATTCAAGATATCAAGTTGCCCCATACAGTAGATATGGGTGGAGAATTGGCAGGAAGTGAAATCACTGGACAGCTCGGGAATACCTGAAAGCCTGGGCAAAGAGCAACAGTCGGAGTAGGATAGGGAAATGAGTGCAGTTTAAAGTCTCCAAGGAGGAAGCAGAGCATCAAAACCATCATCAACCTCATAGAAAACCATCCTTCTGAAGATAACATGGTAGAGGAAACATGGTCACCTGGAAGGGTGGGAGCTGCAAAAGAACCAGGATTCCAATCTCTGGAAAGAGAATGGAACCTTCCCAGGGAGAGAGAATAGAAGCAACTGGAGAACCAGTGAAGACTGGGAGAAAGAGGGGCAGAGATCCTGGGGGGAGATGGGCCAGACATCCCGGCTGTAATGCCCTCTGTACCACTCACCAGCAACCCTCTTACCCCGAATCCAAGAAGATCGCCCTTGGTCAGGAAGACCAGAGATAAACATAGACCTTATCCACACACAAAGTTGTGTCTCAGAAGTCCCAGCCACATTGGAACTACAGTATTTGATGTTCTGGTAGAAAAGCTACTAAACAGTTAATAAATGTTGAATTCAAACCTGAATTGTCTGAGGAAATTCCTTTAAAAGGGAAGAAGACTTTAGGAGGAAAGGCTAAACAAATTCATACTACCTACTTTTTATTATCTCAGGGTGTGACTACACAGCAAGGGAAATATGAGTTCACTCACTGTGAAGTCACACAAGGGAATTCGAGTCTGTTCAATTTAAGTGGCCACACTTAAATTGAATTTCTTCATACAGCCCTGTAGGTGGTGCTATTCAAAGAACTGCAGTATCAATAGGCAACGAGAAAAGGCTTTTTCTAGCCAAGCAGAAACATATCCTTTTCAAACAAAGGCCAAATGAGAAGGGGTGTGTGTGCATGTCCTGTGCCTCTTTGTTTGAAGAACTGGGATGTGATCTCCAATTCACAGCTGTCTCAACTGGAACATTAACAACAGCCCTATTGGAGCTGGCATCTTTCTTGACTTATATTTAAGAAAGAGGTGCCTGGTGAAATCCATCTGGCCACAGACTTTTGGACTTTAAATTCTTCACACTGGTACACAGCTGATGAAGTGGATGGTTCTGGTCCACAAAAGGCTGCAGATTGTGTGATGATTTTTTTAGTGGTCTATAATGGTATCACAAGGGACATGGTGGCGCTGCGGGCTAAACTGCAGAAGCCTGTGCTGCAGGGTCACAAGACCAAGCAGTCGTAAGATCGAATCCACGCGACGGAGTGAGCGCCCGTCGCTTTGTCCCAGCTCCCACCAACCTAGTGATTCGAAAGCATGTAGATGCGAGTAGATAAATAGGGACCACCTCGGTGGGAAGGTAACAGCGTTCCATGTCTAAGTCGCACTGGCCATGTGACCACGGAAGATTGTCTTCGGACAAAACACGGCTCTATGGCTTGGAAACGGGGATGAGCACCGCCCCCTAGAGTCGAACACGACTGGACAAAAAATTGTCAAGGGGAACCTTTACCTTTTATAATGGTATCACTCACACTTGCATTTATATTTTATAATGACCACATGGCTCCTTTTTATTTCAAAGGCTTTTTCTTGTCTCCATTCCCAGGGTTGGACTCAGGTTTTGCTAGTTAAGCTGCAAAAATAAAATAAAATAAACAGGAGTGTTGCTCAGGAGAAGAAACTTTAAAAAAAAATAAAGAAGAGTCTTGGAGAGAAGCTTTGCTAATAGAGATGGGGACTGTGGCGGAACCCCCATGTCACACCTGTCCATCATGGGAAGCTCAAGGGCAGGAGCTTATGAGAGGACAGGAGGGGCGGAACCAAGAGGACAGTTAGACAGAGAGTTAGAGGGGAATTGAAAAAAATGGTTTTGGAAATAGGGAATTGAAGAGAGAGAGAGTTAGGAGATTGATTTGAGGAAGTTTAGACAGAGATTGGAAAGAAGAACTAAATAGTCACTGTATAGTGTAAAAGTGAAAAAACAAACCAATGTGAAATCAAATGATATTTAATGAATGATCATAAACATCTGTAATTTTCTCTTGTGATTTGCATAACATCTATATGAGCAATAAATCTGTTGTATTGGCAGCACGTGTCTAAGATCTGTCTATGTGGTATTAGGGAAAGAATACATGGTGGCAGCGTGAAGTGAGGAAACCCATCCAGAGGGTGGACTTGTGTTTAGAGGGAAAATAAATCAAAGACACTGGGTGGACGCGACAAAGTGGTGGCAGCAAGAAAAGAAAGCGATGTGAACCTTTGTGAGGGCATATTAAACAGGGGCCGTAAGGGTGAACGCCACAGGGACATTCATATTCGTAAATAAATATGAATATCCCCATCCCAGCTGGACGTAATGAGAATTCAGCCCCTGGAACCGGACTGTCCACCCACGCATCCTGACACTGCAGATGTCTTGCTCTTCCTGCCAGTGGGTGTCAGTCAGGAGCTCTGCAGGCTCCTTGCTTTGCTGGCCACTCCAGGGAGGAGACGGGAGGATAAATCTCCCCACATGCATGAGGGAAAACAGATTGAGGCTGAATCCGGACAAGACGGAAATCCGGTGAGTGGGGGTCCCTAGTATCTGTGGTCTGGGTGCCTCCCTATCTTTTGTGGGGTCACTCTTTCCATGAAGGGTGAGGTGCGTAGCTTGGGTGTACTTCTGGACCCAGCTCTATCAATGGCATCACAGGTCGTGTCAGTGGTCCGATCTGCTTATTTCCACCTAAAGTGGATTTCCCAGCTGCACCCCTACTTTGACACTAGGTCTCTCACCACGCTGGTTCATGCGCCGGTAGTCTTGAGATTAGACTACTGCAATGCCCTCTACGTGGGGCTGCCCTCAGGGTTGGTACGGAGATTGCACCAGGTCCAGAACGCGGTGGCCAGATTGCTGTGTGGGTTTAGAAAATACCAACACATTTCCCCCACCCTGGCTGCCTTATACTGGTTATCTGTTTGCTTCTGTCCCAGTTTCAAGGTGATGGTATTAACCTACAAGGCTTTAAACAGTTTGGGACCTTGATATCTGGCCAAGGGCCTCCTTCCAGTTAAGTCTGTCCATCCAATAAGATCGTTGCAGGCAGGGCGTCTGAGAGTTTTGACCCTGAGAGAGGCCTGGAAAACAACCACCAGAAATTGGGCCTTCTCTGTGGTTGCCCCACAATTGTGGAATACGCTCCTGCCTGAAGTTTGCCTGGCTCCCTCACTAAGTACCTTTAAAAAATTATTAGAGACCTGGATGTTCAGACAAGCTTTCCCAGAGTGAATAACTACCGATGCAACAGTATATCCGATAATGCACTACCGTATTTGCCGGTGTATAAGATGAGTTTTTTGGCCCACAAAACATGCCTCCAAGTGGGGGGGTGTCATCTTATACGCCGGGTGCACTTCAGTTGGGCCAGGAAGGAGCCACCGCTGCCACCACCATTGAGTGAGTGACATGGGACCGCGCGCTGGCTGGGGAGGAAGGCAGGCGGGTGGGCAGGTGGTCAGTCCGGACGGAGGGAAGCAGAGCCGGCCATGCCTGAGCAGCCAGAGCCCGCTGCTGGGCTGCCCACTGCCCTGTGTCGCTGAGCCAGCTGTCCGCCCGCCCGCCACCCGAGAGCCGCTTCCCCTCCTCCTCCTCCTCCACTGCCGCCGCCCGCCCGGCCATTTCCCCTCCTCTTGCCCTCCTCGTCAATGGCCATAAACTTCCAGGGTGGGCCCGGGCAGAGCCCTGGGCAGCCGGTGCCGGCACCACAGCAGAGCCGTCCACTCTATATTTTGAGTGGAAATGTTGGGGTAAGTCGTCTTATACGCCCAGTCGTCTTGTACACCGGCAAATACAGCAATTTATAGGCCGTCATATTTTATGCTATTAACTATAGTAATTGTATGTACTGTGTTTTTTCACTTGGTCCTTCACTTTATTTATGATATTTCAATTTGCACTTTAACTTTGATGTTGTATTATATTGTTATTTTAAGGTTTTGTTATTGTTGTAAACTGCCCAGAGTGGCCCTGGCTGCCAGATGGGCGGTAACTAACTAACTAACTAACTAACTAACTAACTAACTAACTAACTAACTAACTAACTAACTAACTAACTAACTAACTAACTAACTAACTAACTAACTAACTAACTAACTAACTAACTAACTACTGCTTCCCTTTGTCAAATGGTTGCACTATTGTTTTCAAGACCCATGTGATACACTCTATTATTAATCATCATTACTGATAGGAGCCATGATTCTAGAGTGGATCACTTTTTAAAGTGTAGCTAAAGGGGCAATGCACAGCACATAAATTTGCTTTGAATCTGCACATTTAGACATCTCCCCCAGTGCATGTTGTTTAGTCTTCCCCAGTAAGTGGGAGGTGGGATTGGATGTGGTCATAGCCACCATAATCCATGGTGAAAGTTGGTGGGTGTTTCTTTTTCTTTCTCTCTGCCTGATTCCATTTGAAACATATTCATTCCTACTTCTGGTCTGCATTGGTCCCTCTTCCAGTGGAGCTGGTGGCCACTGTGAGAGAATGTAATATATAGGTTTAAGCTCAAGGAAATGTTATAAAATTGTAGCAGAATGAGCTGGCCTGATGTCAAATGACCCTAGCATCTGCTGGCCTAAACCAGCATGTATCTGTTCACACCCAGTTTAACACATTACCTGTTCAATTAAGTGAGGACCAGAGAAGTGTGTGTGTGGGGGGAATTACCAGGAAAATCTACCCTGGAGTTCAGCTGGATCCCCTGTAGGTTCAGAATCAGATGGCAGTGGGAACTAGGGTAGAGGCAAAGGGAGTTTTCTTTGACCATGCCCTGAGAGGGAGGTACCAGCTTCAAGACTGGTAAGAGTGAAATAGTAGCAAGGATGCCCAAAGGCACAAAAATGAGCACTGTATTATGGGGTGACTGGGGAGTATGCCATGTTGATGGATATTGTGATGTCAATAGTAAAGACAGGTGATATTGTATGACTAAAGGAGGTGTGATGAAAAGGGAAACTCTGGTGTGTGTGGATTTCCCCTGAGTGCCACAGTAAGGAGCTTCTCTTACTTCCAGTTTGTTATATTTGGTGATTGGCGTTCAGGGCTTAAGCATGGGATTCCTTTCAAGTCTGATTCCACAAGCATAGGAATACTGCCTCGGTCACCTCTGTGCAACATTACTGTGCTTTCAGCTCTAATTATAAGCTATCTCTAATGTCTGGTTCTGCCTTAATTTACACAGTAGCAGCATCCTGAGTGATTATCGCTAAGAGTGGAAGCATTTAAGCTAACCAGATGTTTCTGGTGGAGAAGAAACCTGGATTCAGGAGTAAGCAGAAGAAAGTTACATGGCAGGTGTTTACATAGACATGCACACACACACACACACAGACACTCTCACAAACATTGCCCCCCCTCCTCTTATTTCCTGACACATGGAGAACAGCGGTATGTGCTGCACACTCCATACTGCATGTCAACTTCAAACATAGGCCAAATCATCCGTGGAAATGGCAGCAATTAGGAAAAGTGAAATGCAAACAAACGACAGTAACTTGAAGACTCTCAATGGTAGGAGAGAAAACCTTTGGTGCCCCCTCGCACCCACCACACTGACGGGAGTTAATGGAAAGATAAACCTCTAACCGGCTTGCAGTTTACAGACTGTCATCAACTCTCAGCTCTGATCTTCATAATAAGGAAATGCCAATGTTTGCTCAGATAGAAGTGGCTTGTGTTATACAGGACATATTTTTTCCTGGGCTACTAGGACTGAAAACATCAAGATTTCCGGCTGCCCCCACCCCATTCCATAGTGCGTGTGGAAACAAAGCATGTATATGATTTGCATTGTGGTGGAGTAGCATTTCTGAATGTGTGAAAAGTAACTGATGTGGGACCTCATTGCAAAACTACCTTCTGGCATGGATCTTCAGTGCATTTGTTTTAATTTTGTTGGCTTGGTCTGCCTGGCCAAATGGTGAAGAGGTCTTCTGAATGCTGTACTCCACAGATCCTAGATTTCAGAATGCAGGGATAGTGTCTCCATGTCACTTGCTTTTGCAAATCTACTCATTCGGCTGGTGTCTCACTTGTAACCCAGGAAGTGAATAATCCTCTCAACAGAGCAGACAGATCCTTTGGCTTCATGACTTTGGCCTTCTGATGGTACCTACCTGCCACACAGAATGGGTTTAAATGGGAAGGGGACAGTTTCACCCTCACCCAAGCACATAGGACAGTTTATGTTTTTGCACCACAGCTTCCAGAATCACCCAGCCTGCAAGGCCAGTGGTCATTGTTGGCTCCAAAATTTTGGGATTTGTAATCCAAACAAGGAAGGTTTCCAGTCTCTGTCTCCAGGAGACCTTAAAGATCTGTACTCATTTAGCTTGTTTTATGTTCCTGCAATGCTACTTGGGTTATGTTTTTCATCCCTATTGGTAGAGCTTAGTATGAAACACATTACAGTGGTGCCTCACAAGACGAATTTAATTTGTTCCACGGTTAATATTGTCTTGTGAAAAATTTGTCTTGCGAAACACGTTTTCCCATAGGACTGCATCGAAATCTAATTAATGCGTTCCCATGGGCAAAAAAAGTCAGAACAAAGTCAAATTTGGTTTACAAAGGGTTTATTAAGTGCTCTTTAAAGCCATACATACTGTGTAGGTGATTTCAAAAATTTCAATTAAAAAAACTTTAACTTTTTAAACATCATAGAAACACATTTAAAAATCAGCAAACATGAGGCAGGAACAAAAAACGGAAAACATTTATCTTGTGAAGCACGGCCTTAGGAACATTTGTCTTGCAAGTTATCAACCCCATCGCCAAAACCATTTGTCTTGCGAGTTTTTTGTCCTGCGAGGCATTCTTCTTGCGAGGCACCACTATATTTGAAAATTGCTTAATATTAGTATACATTGTGCAGCATGTTGATTAGCCATTAATATTTCAATGACTGTTTAATTTATGTTATTACGACTTGTAATTCTTACAATCAATATGGAACGTTGTTCTTTTTTACTGTGTAAAAAGGTACTATGTAAATGTAGGGAGTGGCTTTGCCCTGGAAAAGCAGCCTACAGATATATTGGTGGGGGAGAGGGGGAGGAGGAGGAAACACATTTTTTTTAAAATGTGGTAACTTATTTTAAGAAACCTTGAGAATCTTGACTTTAATTGCATGACAAATATTTTCATTTGGTAATATATATGACTACTTTTGGCAATAATTCCATTATTTCCCATTTTTAACACTATGATGTGGAATGAGGTGAACTAAACTTTGAAAACCATCTACCCACAAGCCACAGAGAGGGGAGATGCTATTAAAGACATTAAATTAGCTTCACTTCTGTATTTTCGATATGGCTAGACTGGGCCCTTTTAAAAACCACCTCCTCAGTGTTCTTCAATTTCAGCCTTTTGATGAACTGAAGCATCCACACAAGTGCTAACAAGTGGAGATTTATTGGAACAGAACCACAGTGTCTCGGCTGATGGAGTGAAACTGCATTGGCCAAACCTGAAGCTTGAGGTGAGAGGTCTTCCAACAGTGGCCACCAAAAAAAAGAGGC